CGCCACAACGCCTGGCCATTTTTTGGTTGCAGCCATCGTTGTTTGGCGGGCCCGGGCTGGGGATTCGAACCCGCCACCTTAGGTGTATGTGGCTGATGCCTTAGCCACTTGAGCCACAGGCGCTGAGCCAACCTTTTTTTGATCAACATAATTTAAGTGTGTTGTGGAAGTTTAACTACAGGTGCAAGTGTGCTGTGAGATAAGAAAGGTTGAAAAACATGGATGTAGATGGTACTTTAAGCTACTAAGTGGATATCATCCACATGGCGGGTCCAGAGTGATGACAGAAGAAAGCCTAGGAAGAACACAATTATTCAGGGAATGGCTTGAGAAAGGAGAGTGAGGGAGAACACGGGCAGGGGTAACAGCAGAGCTGAGAGAGTTTGGTGTCACAGAGCCAGTGGAATGGAACATACCATAAAAGAGAGAATGCCTAGGGCTGGGCAAGATGGCTCACGCCTGTAATCCTAGCACTCTGGGAGGCTGAGGAGGGTGGTTTGCTTGAGTTCACAGGTTCGAGACCAGCCTGAGCCAGAGGGAGACCCCCATCTCTAAAAATAGCCAGGTATTGTGGTAGATGCCTGTAGTTCCAGCTACTTAGGAGGCTGAGGCAAGGGGATCACTTGAGCCCAAGAGTTTGAGGTTGCTGTGAGCTGTGATGCCACGGCACTCTACCAAGGGCGACAAAATGAGACTCTGTCTCCAAAAGAATGCTGGTAGTGCCAAATACTGTCAGGGGCCCATAAGTAAGGATGGAGCCATCACTGGTTTTCCTAAGAGAGTGGTTAGTGAACTCTCTTGGGGACAGATTCCTGCAGTCAAGGGGTAGGTGCTGAGGTTTGGAGGAGTGACTGAGAGGGGTGCGGAGGTATAGACAACCCTTTTAAGAAATTCGGTTGTGAAGGAGACAAGAAAAAGAACAGTATCTGGGAGATGGGGGCCGTGTGAGGAAAATGAGGTTTGTGTTACTTTTCTTACTTTGAAAGACTCAGCATATCTGGATGCAAATGGCAAGAGCCAGTGGAGTGTGAGAAGTTGATAATTCAGTTACAGTGAGACAATCTATGAGTCTCGATCTTTAGAGAGGACAAGGGAGATAGGATCATGAGCAGAGGTGGCAAAACAAAGAAACCAAACAGACAGACATGGATAGGAGGACTCTGTCACTTGTTTCCCTGGGACCAGATGGAAAGAGGAAGGGTAAGTGTAGGTAAAGGCGATGGTTTGGTAGCCCAAAGTGGAGGGATTTCTTTTGTGGGGGCTTTTGATTTCTCAAAAGTGAACTCATCTGTTGAGAGGAAGGTGGGAGGTGGTAGAGACCAGGGTTTGCAGAGAACACAAAAAGGTTGAAAGACCCATGGTGAAGGAATGGAAAGAACTAACCGAAGCAATGTAATAATCACCATGGTACTTTGAGACCTCCGGGGAATTAGTAATTTTGGCTTTTTGTTTATTCATTTTCCTGGGCCTCATGGGCTAGAAGAGATTAGTAACTTTGTGTTTATAATGAAGACTGTCTCTAGTCTGGGGATTTTGTACAGTAGTGCTTAACTTAATGGTATAGGGCTAGACATCCAAAAGATAATTTCTAAAATAAGCTTTCTTATTTCAGAAAAGGTTTAGCTTTACACACACTCACATTTAATTATATGTTTATCTTGCTGAACCCTTTGAGCGTCACTTGCCAACCTTGTAACACTTTACCCTCAAATGTTTCAGCATGTCTCCTAAGACCAAAGAGATTTATTTTAACCAAAATCACAAGATAGGTTTCCTACTCAGGAAATTGAACATCCTTGTCTAATATAGAGTTCATATTCAAATTTCCCCAGTATATCAGTAATGTCTTTTTAAGCTGTGTTTCCCGCCCCCAACCCAAAGGATCACATATTGTATTTAGTTGTGGAGAGCAGTTGTTTTGCAGAATTGCCCTCCGTTTTCACTTATGTGATTGTTTCTTCATGATTATACACAGATTAAAAGCTTTTGGCAGCAAAACTCTCCCGGTCCTGTTGTGCCCTCCTCAGAGCATCACATCAGGACAGAACGAGGCTCACTATTGGTGAACTTTACTTAGTTAAGGTGGAAACTTCTGGATTTCTCCATTATAAAGGCAGATTTTCTTCTTTGTAATTAATAACCCTTGGGATACAGTTTTTTTGTTTTATTTATTTATTTTTTGAGACTGAGTTTTGCTCTGTTACCCTGAATAGAGTGCAGTGTAGCTCACAGTAACCTTGAACTCCTGGGTTCAAGCAGTCCTCCTGCCTCAGCCTCCTGAGTAGCTGGGACTACAGATGTGTCCTACTGTGGCTGGCTAATTTTTCTATTTTTGGTAGAAATTTTTAGAGACAGCGTCTTGCTGTTGCTCAAACTGAACTCAAGTGATCTTTCCCGCTTTGGCCTCCCCAAGTGCTAGAATTGCAGGTTTGAGCCATTGCATCTCAATGGCCCCTTTGGGTCATACTTTGAGGTGTGACTATTCACGCCCAGTGGTCTTTCACCCAGGGGTTTTAGAATCCTCTGATGACTCTTACTTGAATCAGTTATTATTTTGGTGGTTGCAGAAATGGGGATTTTTAAAAATCTGTACTTCCTTCTGCCTTTATTACTTGGCATTCTGCATGATAACTCTGCAGCCGCTGCGCAGGAATAATTATCACATAAATACACTGCTCAAAGTGATGAGTTCCTGAAAAAGTGTGTGTTAACTGAGATCTCTGTCCACAGGAAAATTTCAGAGCTACATTTCCATAGTAAAGAGAAATCCCTGTAGCCCTATAAAAAATACATTTAAGACAACTTTTAATATGTTTTAACAGGTAAAATCCCTTTTAGTAAATTGTAAACAATTACAACAGAATACAACATTGCAAATATAATATTGTACAGTATTTTTTGGGGGGGGCAGGGCCAGGTTTGAACCTGCCACCTCTGGTATATGGGGCCAGCGCCCTACCCTTTTGAGCCACAGGTAGCCCTGATATTATACAGTATTAAAACCAGTGATGAAGATAAGTCTTTTCCTGCCGAAGTATTGTTTAGGACTTTATTTTATTGAAACCAAAAATGAATTTCAGCTGTAACTTCTGACGTGTTTGAGACCTAGCTGCTGACATCACAGGGGTTTAACATTTCATTTTGAATGTTATGGTCGGATTACTAACCGTTTGAGCTTCTCTTTTCTAATGTGTAAATTGAGGAGCTGGTCAGATTATACAGTCCTTTCAAATCCTTAATGTTGGCTGATTAAAACATTTATTATAGAAGTTGGACTCCCTGCCCCCTTTGGCTAAAGAGAGCATTGTTCAGTTACGTTGTTTACACTTACCCAAATGAAAACTGGTCATGTAGACGCCAAAGGGAGCTGGAAAAAAGGAAAATAAAATATGGACAAAACCCACAAAGCATAATAATAAGTTATAGTATTTCTGTTTCCATTGCAATAATAGGATTCTCTTTTTTTTCCATCCAAAAAAAATTTTTTTTAATAAAGACCTCTCTTGACAAACAAAATTGGAGATATCTTTATAAACCAGCAAGGGAGGAGAGTTTAATAACTTACTAGCTGGAGGTTCTTTTCATTCAGTCCCTCAAGGGTGCTCAGCTGGAGCCTGCCCGGAGCTGCTCCCCTAAAGTAGTGGGAAGAGGATTAGTTTCCACTCTTAGGCACCTGAGGGCAATTTATTCTGCCATCTTGCCTCTTTCAGCTGCCTCTTTAGCTTCTGTGCCCCAGGAGGATGAGAAAAGCTGCTCTCTACTTATTACTAATTTCTTATTAAATTAAATAGTCAATGAAGGCCTTTTGTACCCAAGATATCTGGTCCCTGTGAAGAATGAAGCCCCTGTGGTGGGGGGACTGGACTATTCCATTGGGCAATAGCACACTTTAGGAGTAAGACCAGGGAAGAAAAGTTCATCGCATTTTTTGTTTTAATAAAAAAAATTCCTTTTAATAATGCAGGGTCTCTTACAAAGTGTGAGCCATCCCTCACCAAGAGCGAATGGCAGAAGAAACTGACGCCAGAGCAATTCTACGTCACGAGAGAAAAAGGAACAGAACCGGTAAGCTGAAGTGGTTCACAGTCTTCTGCTTAGATGTTCCAGGGGTGAGGGGGAGATTGGAATAGATCGGTCTACCAAACCTACTCCTGGCCGTCCAGCTGTAGATCCGGTCTTCCTCCTGGGCTCCCATTCCTGGTGACTTCATATCCATAGAGGTGTAGAAACCTGAAACTTCCTCCTGCCACGTGGCTCCCATCACCTCTGTTCTGCCTTCTAAATAACCTTCCAGTCAGTTCACTTCCCTCCAATGCTCTCACCTCCCTGCTGGGCCAGGTCACCTTCCCATTAGGTCAGGTCACCTCCCCACACCCAGCCATCCTTGCTCCAGCCAACCCATTCTCATCCGCAGCCAAAGAGGTCTTGGAAAGATTCGAATCTGACCGCAGTACTCCCCAGGCCAGAATCCTCCAGTGGCTGCTCGCAGCTTCCAAGGAGAGAGAAAAACAGTAAATGGCTAAAAAGGTCCCAATGGCTCCCTGCCACCACATCCTGAAATCCTGCGTCTTTCCTCTCGATGCTTTGTTCTGTCGGCAATGTCCCTTGGGCTCTCACACACCCTGGGCTCCCTTCTCTTCCAGGGCTCTTGCACCCCACATTCCTTCCCCTTTCCCACCACCTTTCCCTCTGACTAGTTCACACCTACCTTGCAGCGCTCAGCCCCCAAGCCTCACTTTCTCAGGGAAGCCTCTTCCCGGTCCTGAGCCAGGTTTGCTTTCCCAAGACGCCCTCCACAGCAGCCCCCATCGCTCTGATAGGCCCTGGCACCTAACACGCTACGGCTACCGTTGATACTCAGAAAATCAATTGCATTCATCAGTTTCATGTATTTCCAGAGAGAACAACCCTCAGTGGTTTCTTCTTATCATGCCATTTTTTTTTTTTTTTACAATCTTGCATTTCTTAACAAGGATTCTTAGATCTTAATATAGCCGCTGGAATTTAGCTATTGAACTTTGTTATTAGACATTTTTATCTGTTAAGTGGATCACAGGGCAGTGGTTTTGCCAAGTTGTAAAGGACTTATATTTTTCCTTTGTCATTCCCTGCAGAATTAAGGTAGCTGTCCATGTGTGCGTGGCCTTATAATCATGGTCGTACTCTCAGTTTCTCGGATGCTAAAGTTGTCAGACAAGCCAGCACATCCCAAAAGAGTTTTGTGAAATGCTGGTATTTTTTAAAACTTCCTGTGGGTGAGATTTTCATAAAGCCTTCACTGGGGGAGAGACCACATTAGCCGTACTTGGGGATAGCACAAGGGAATCTCACGTGATAGATAGCCTGGGCGTCACTATTGTGTGTGTTCCCAGAATATTCGGAGGCAGCCCTAATTCTCAGGTACAGAGCCAGGCAGCGTTGGGTGTATACACAAGGCCTAGAAGTTGAGCTCCAGATGTTTAGGAGAATAAATCTGTGAGCTTTGCAAACAGATGGTGCAATATACTTTGTGCATTTGACTATTTTACAAAATGAGCACCATCCATTATTTTAACTAATGTTATAAATCCCTTTCTGTTAGCCTGTTTCCACTTAGAACACTGCAGAACTGTTCTTCATTAGGCTGAGAGAAGAAAACTAAAACGTGGAAGACTTCCCTTTGGTGGCTCCGAATTAAAATTCAGTTGCACATGTTTTTATCCAGAAACAGTGACAGACACTTTGCTCGGCCAGGGGAAGGATTTACAGCCTGACTGAGCAGTAACTGAAAGTTGGGTATCGTTAGAAGGGAGGTTTCATCCAGGTCATTCTCTGTCCGGCCCCCAGACCCACTGTCCCCGGGCCTCTCTCTGCTCTGAGCTCTGGAAAGAGTGACCAGCCCCCTTTCCCTCTGGCTACCAGTGTGGTTTAGCCAGTGGGAAACACCAGCAAGATCAAAGGGTAGGGTGGAGAAATCACTGGGTCCCCAGGGGCCTCTGTAGGGTGCAGGCCAGCAGTGCTGTTCCTCTCCTACAGGTGGCAGCCCCCACCTGCAGGTGCAGCCACACTGGGTCTTGGTCGCTTCCCTCTCCTTCCTTTGTCACATAGGCCTAGTGGGGTCCCTTGTTGGTTTCCATTGGCTCTGTCCCCACCTTTGTAATGGTTTCATGTGAAATTATCTGCAGTCATTCATTCCAAATAGTCCAGACAGACCTTGAAATCCCAGGGGAGTCTCAAATGTCACTCTGTCTCTAACCCCAGCCCCTCTCTCTATAGCCGGTCATTTCAGTTCGTTCTTCTACAATTATTTCTGACTCTCTTTCTTTTGTTTCCATTGCTTTGCCTGAGCAGGACCGGTCTCCAGGTCTGTGAGTGACCAAGGTGGCATTACTCTCTGCCTCCAGCATCTTCCTGTCCCCTCTCCAATCTGTTCTTCACCTGGATGTCAAATGAGCTTTCTAAAAATTATCTCTGTCCTATTTCCTACTAATTGAGGTTAAATTATATATGTGTGTGTGTGTGCGCGCGCGTGCGCGTGTATTTATTTATTTATTAAACCCATCTCTGGTCAGGTGTACACCCCGATTACAGGTTTCCAGTAGCTTTGCATTTGGGATAGGACTGAGTTTAGGCCCTTCACTGTCGGCTAACCTGGTCTGGCCCCTCCTGCCTTTCCAGCACTGTCTCTGCCCTGTCTCTTCCTCGGCCTTTTCCCCACGTGCGGCCTTGCCCAAGCTGTTCTGCTGGCCAGAAATACTCTTCCATTTCTTCATCTGACTAACTCTTACTCATCCCTCAAAACCCAGATGAGTGTTTTGAAAATTTTCTATAATAAACATCAATCAGCTCTGCATTAAAAAATAATAGTAATAAAAGGTTAAGGGGAGAAAAAGACATCCCTGCCACCATCTCCGTGAGTATCTAGCGCAGAAAACCTTCACGGAAACTCCCTTCATAGGGAAAGATACGATGTTACCCAACTGTATGTCATTTCTGTCATGGCTGTCACCACCTGTCTCTTTCCCTCTAGGTGGCAAGTTCCATGAGTGCAGGAACTGTGGGTTTGTTCCCCACTCCCTGCCATAGCTGGAGTCTTAGTACCCAGCTCAGCTCTGGGGTGGAAATGCTGGAACACACATGAGCTAGAAGCAGATTTTGGCTCTAAAGAGATAGTAAAGACCTGTCTAAAATTGGGGAGCGGGGAGGGGACACAGTAGGAAGCTTGGCAAGGAGGGAGCAGCTAGGTATCATTTTGTAAAGTATGTTGGCCAAAAATTCTTTTTCATTTGAATTCTTTATTTTTATTATTACTTTTTTTTTTTTATTGTGATAGCAATTCCCTGTCACTTTCTCTGCCCAGCTGCCCCCTACAAAGATGCAATTATATTTTGACACTTACCAGGCTACCTGGATCCTATGAATAGGTTTTCTAGATCAGCCTTGGGACTGGCTGCCATTTTCCCTGGGTCCATCCTCAGCTCAGGGGGAGGATGGGCAACCCACTTGATTAAACATGCCCATCAGTGCCAGTGTTGGGATCAGGCATTCAACAAAACTGGCCATAAAAGACCAGCTCAGTACTGCTTGGATTTCTGCCGCTAAGTCTGGGGTTTTTAAAGAGGGAAAACCTCCAAGTGTGCCCAGATGGTAGGCTCAGTAGGTTAATTTGAAATTGTCTGTTATGCCACTTGCTGAAAATGTGCTGTTAATAACTACCACGGGGAATTTCGATGTACAACCTGTGAATTTTTGGAGTTGAGGAATCTGGAGAGGGCAAAAGGGTCCCGGTGATTTCCTGAGTCAGCTTTGTCACTTGTGAACCTCTCTGTGCTTTAGCTTCTCCTACAGCCTATAAAGCGGGATAAGAGCTCGTCACCAGGCGCGGAGACCATGGGTCTTTGTACTTACCTTGTGCAAGTGTTTATCTATCTTTAATTTTCTTCAAAAAGGAGAAGGCAAAAGGAATTGGCAAAAATGGCCTTTTTTAACAAAAAAGAGGAGGCATCCCGTTTGTAAAATAACATTTTAAAAAATCCTGACTCAGGTGGCACCTGTGGCTCAAGGGAGTAGGGCGCCAGCCCCATATGCCAGAGGTGGCAGGTTCAAACCTAGCCCCGGCCAAAAACTGGAAAAAAATAAAAATAAAAAATCCTAACTGAGCCAGGATTTAAGTCTGCCTGCCTTCCTCTTAAAATACCTTTGCAGACTTTCAAACTCTTTAAGCCACAACTAGTGTAGTAATTTCATCTAAGTAGGATCCTAGGCACCAAGGGGCTCTAGCTCATTATTTAACATTTATTGTATATGCAGTGTGCTGGCTGGGCGCTGTGGCTCATGCCTGCCATCCTAGCACTCTGGGAGGTTGAGGCGGGTGGATTGCTTGAGCTCAGAAGTTCGAGACCAGCCTAAGCAAGAGTGAGACCCTGTCTCTAAAACTAGCTGGGCGTCAGGGCCGGCTCCTGTAGTCCCAGCTACTCTTAGGCTTAAGCAAGAGGATTGCTCAAGCCTAAGAGTTTGAGGTTGCTGTGAGCTATAATGCCATAGCTATAATGCCACTCTACCAAGGGCAACAAAATCAAACTGTCTCAAAAAAAAAAAATTCAGTGGACTAAATACCATGGGAAGCTTACTAAAGGCACAACCCCTGACCTCGCTGAACTCTGCTTTCTGTGTATCTGTATTCTCTCTTTCACTGGAGATTTCAAAATGTGTTAGTGGACTAGGTTCCTGTTATAGTAACTGTTTTGTTTATGAAGTCTTAACACGATCCCAAAAGACAAGACTCTGCTCTCTGGCTTTTTCACTGGCTTTGCTATTCTTGGATGAAAGGTGCTATATAAATACAAAGCATGATTAATGTCATAATACGAATATTTGGCACAATAAAAGCCGGCTGTAAATAAGCCTGCAGGCTGCTTCATCGGTGCATTCTAATTTTCTGTCTAGTAGTATTTGCACTTTGTCAAATTAATACAGAAATTCCTTGCTATGGAGGCTCATCTAGGATTCAGATCTGCTCTCTCATCTCCTGCTGGTAGTGTGAGAAACTGAACACGACGTATTTGTTTCTCTTTCAGCCTTTCAGTGGGCTCTACCTGAATAACGAGGAGGCAGGAATGTATCATTGCGTGTGCTGTGATAGTCCACTCTTCAGGTAAGCTGGGGAACCAAGAACTGTGGCAGGCGAACAGACCTCCAGGTACATTTGGCTCTATCTCACTCAGGGCTTTGGATAAATAAATGCTCGTAATTCTCATATTGCTTTTAACTGCCCTTCTCATTTGGCATTTTTGACATAAGGAGAGCTGTTCACACAAGTACAAGATACTTTCCTGCCTTGATTTTTTTTCCCTCTCATTTAGAGCTGGTCCCAAGACTTCTTAGCTTATATTCTTCCTTTATCCCTGAGAAATACCAAACAAATAAAACTTGGTGGTCATCTTAATGATAAAGCTATTAGAATATTATAGAGGGAAAGTATTTAAAGAAGCCTAAGCCATAATTGTATTTGCTGGGCCATGCGATTAAGACTGTCTCTCTCCCAGGGAAAATGGGTTTATAACTTAATTTAGGAAATGTAGAATTTTATGAGGAGAGATTCCCCACGATGCTTGACAGTAGTGAATACCATGCCCTCTTCTATGTAGCTGAAAGTAAATTTAATTGTCCCTTGATTTCAAAGCCTCTTTTAAGTCAATCAGGACCTGAAATCTCTCAACAAATGCTTTTCTGTTTAGACATGCAGGAAACAGACTAAAAACAGGGAATTCAATGAAGAAGAAAGGAAAACATCTTTGAAGTCCTGTTTTTCAGAACTTCAAAGATGTTTTTCTTTCTTTTGCATCAACCCCAAATTGGTTTGGAATAAAATATAAATCAAGCCAGCTCTGTGGATCGTCCATTAGGCAGCGCTTCCCTCTGTCCTCTGGGTGTGAGGGGCCCGGGCTGTCCTGGCCGGCTGGCTGCTAATGTGCGCTGCGCTAGCAAACCAGACCTGCCCGCCAGAACGAGGAGCGATTAGCATTAATTTTCCTCCATGCTCACGGAAGGGCAGGGCTTTGTGGCACAGGGGAAACTAGAAGGTAAATTTTTATACAGTAAAGTGCGTAACTCATATTTCTGAGATAATACTTATTTCTTGACATAGGTAGGGCTTTGAGATGGCCAGTGTGCTTTCAGCCCAAGAACCATGTTGTCAAGGTGTCAGAGACCACCTCACTACTGTGCACTCACCTTGTTCTGTTCCCATCCGGGACTGAAGACAGATGAGAAGCCATCCTTGTAAGGAGGTGCTTTTAAGTTGGAGTTTTAACTCTGTGACTTCCTTGGCATTCCAGTTTCTGTACCTATAAAGAGGGGGCCTCCTTACCACCTGGTGCACTCTGGCCCCTCACCACGCAGTCATGGTGTCAGGGCCTGGGAGCTGCAAGGGTCCTGAGCCAGCAGAGCAGAAAGCTCTATCCAGTGGTGGTGAAAATGTCTCTGTCTGCCTGGCCGTTGTGGTGGCCACTTAAGATGTGGTTAAAGTAGCTAAGAAGCCAAAGTTTTCATTTCAAAGGCCACACGTGGCTAGTAGCTACCGTATTAGCACAATGCTAGCTCAAATTAAGGAAGTTCCGTGACCAAGCCTGGGTCATAGAGTTCCTGAAATGGCCAAGATTCATTAATAGGAGAACCAGCCAATTCTCCAAAAGTCCATTTACCAAGTGACTAGTTTATTCAACTGCTAATTCACCAACCTTATTTCTTTTTAACCCTTTAGTTTGAGCTGAAAAGTTTCTGTTTTCCTGTCTTAAGGACTTTTGAATTTGTTTCTGTTCCATTTTCCTGTTACTACTATTGCAGCCAAGACTGAGGGAAATAAGAATATATTCCATCAGAATCATTTGTGTTGTAGAATATCGCCTTAAAGATGCATTCATTTATGGGAGAGCCAGTATAGTAGAGTAATTAAAGCAGCTAGGTGTTCATACGGTACTAACCTCTCTGTACCTCCCATTTCCTCACCTAAAATAAGGATAATAGGACTTTATTTGTACAGTTGGTGGGAGAGTATCTGATATACTTGGCACATGCCAGGCACTCAGTGCAAATTACAATGATATTTTCTTAGAGATGTCTTAGAGCTGTGTACATGAACATGTGTCTGATAAGGAGGAATTCCAGAGAAGACAGTCCATCCAGTTAATGGGAACAGGCAAATGATTATATTCCAGAGTATTCGTCCCATTCCCGAAGATAGTTTTAGGGATACATTCTTGTTTTACCTATCATTTCCCTCCTCTCTCTGTCTATAGCCTCTATGTTAGGAAACAGGGGTTTGGAAAAAATAATTCCTTAACTGCTTGTGTAGAGTCAAACTGAAGTGAAGGGCTAGAGAGTTATTTAATAGCAAATGAGGGCCCACTGCCTCCTTGCTTCCTACCCCTGCTGGGCGGCTTCCTACCTGCCTCCAGCCCCCTCCTGTGGTATGCTCTTTTAACTTCCACTTGTTGAATCCTAAATTTCTTCATGAAACTTTCTCCGATAGTAGGCACTGTGGGTTTTTCTTTCTTCTGTTTCAAATTCTTATTAGTTTGAGGCTGGACGCCGTGGCTCATACCTATAATCCCAGCACTCTGAAAGGCAGAGGCAGGTGGATTGCCTGAACAAGAGTGACACCCTGTCTCTAAAAATAGCTGGGTGTTGTGGCGGGCTCCTGTAGTCCCAGCTGCTTAGGAGGCTAAGGCAAGAGGATTGCTTAAGCCCAAGAGTTTGAGGTTGCTGTGAGCTATGACACCGTGGCATTCTACCTAGGATGACAAAGTGAGACTCTGTTTAAAAAAAAACAACAACAATTCCTATTACTTTGTCATTACCACAAAATTTAGGATTTAATTGTTTTTTTCTACTGGCTCAAATATTTTATTTAGTTGGGGAGATAAACTGATGAGCTCCTTGAGTTCCCTGACCATCTTATACAGGGGTCCTCAAACTTTTAAAACAGGGGGCCAGTTCACTGTCCCACAGACTGTTGGAGGGCCGGACTGCAGGCCCTGGGATGAGTCGGCTGCCAAGCAGGACAGGCAGTGATGGCAAAAACACCTGGTGGGCTGCATGTGGCCCGCGGGCCATAGTCTGAGGACACCTGATAGACCTTAGGGGGGTTGTTAGGGATTGAATTGTCTCGTCAAATGATTTGCTGATGCCCTAATCCCCAAAACCTGTGAATGTGACTATTTGGCAGTAGGGTCGTTGCAGATGTAATTAGTTAAAGTAAGCTCATGCTGGAGTAGGGCAGGCCCTTAATTCTTTATCACTACTGTACTGAGAAGGTGGCCAGGCAGAGAGAAGGCTGTGTGACATGGAAGCAGAGATCGGTGTTACTCAGCCACAGATCAGGGATTGCCAGCATCCTCCAGGAGCTAGGAAGAGGCAGAGAGGGTGCCCTAACCCCTTCAGAGGCACCACGGCACTGCTTACGCCTTGATTTTGGGCTTCCAGCCTCCAGAACTGTGAGATAGTACCGCCCACTTTCTGTAATTTGTTATAATCACCCTTGAAAATCCATAGAGAAGTGCTCAACAAGTACGTACTTCTTGGCTGAGCGATAATGTCTGTTCTGCTGCTTACCTGCAGTGGCTATACCATGACTATCAGAGGAAGTTACGGTTTTGCAGTCACCATGGAAATATAAGGGAAGTAATTCTAGCTGCCTGCTTCCCTTCCTTCCTTCCTCCTTTTTCTCCATCCATAAACCTGCTCTGGCAGTGTTTACTAAAACCTAATGTTGGATCACACATTTGTCATAAGTCTTAAAAGAGGAAGAAACAGTGCCTGGTACTAATTCACAAGTTACTTAACACTCTGATATCCTACATGTCGTGAGTAACTAAGTAATATTGTTTAAAAACCTGGGTGTGCCCCATTCCCCCAAATGAATGGCAATTCTTCTAAAAGGTTAGGGTTGTCACTTATTACCGGGTGCCTCTGCTATTGGTTTGGGGGCAGTGAAATTTCCAGACATGAAGGAAAACCAAAGCAAATGAACACAGAAGACTAAACAAAAGAAAAACCTCTAACAGTATGTGATCCCGAATGGCTTTAATTTTTCAAGGATAAGCCTTGTAATCTGCTAATTATTTAAATTATGTATATTGGGATTTATGATTGGGCTTTAAAATTTAGGATCCCAGTCTTAAACTATATATGTTGGGGCTCTCATATTACTTAGTAAAATCTCCAGATTCTGCTAATTGCATCAATAAAGGTTTATTGTTTCCCATAAAATCTTTTAATGCATTTTTATTAGTCTTAGATTCATTCATTTAAAGAATGTTATTGTGTTCATAATTCTCCATCAAAATTCCTTTTATGATCTCTAGTTTATGTATAATGTTGAGGATGGAAAGGCTGTGATTAAAAGATATTCAATGATGTTTTTCCCTGAGCAGAGTAGCCAGATGAATATTCTTGAACTCTTTGAAGAAGATTACAAAGAACTCAGATTGAATGTACAACTTCATTTGGGCCCACGGTTGCTCACATCTCATGGATGTATCATATTAATAAATATTTTAAAAATATCTACTGACTTATGTACCATGGATCAGACATTAGGCTAAACACACTAGACACAGAAAGTGAAGTAATAATGCCATTGCTGTTCTATAGATTAGGACGCTAAGACTTCAAAAGATTAACTTGCCAAGGTCACACAAATGTAACAGACCATCCCGGATCCATACTCAAATCTTTCAGAAGTTAAAGCCCTTACTCCAAATGGTTATACCTGTGGTTCTCAAAGCCTGGTCTGAGGACCCTGAGGGTTCCTGGGACCTTTCTAGGGGACCTACAAGGTCTTCCCTCTTCCAAGTACATGTCATATCTTTTTATGTCAGTCAAAACAACATTGCAACATATACAGAGGTACATGTGAAGATTCAGTTGTCTTTTTAAAAGGATAGACATTGAAAAGATTTTTAGAATTATTAAACAGTACAAGTCTTCTCACTAAATGTTTGTTTCTTTTTGGAAAATGTAACTATATGTCCTAAAAATATGTTAACATATCATGAATTTATTGTAGGCCTGAGCTTTGCTAATCGGAAAATCCAAAATCTGAAATCCTCCAAAACCTGTAACTTTTCGAGCACTGACATGATGCTTAAAGGAGCATCTCAGATTTTAATTTCAGATCAAGGATGTTACGTGGTAAAATAACACAGATATTCCAAAATCTGGAAAAAATTTGAAATCTGAAACATTTCTGGTCCCAAGTATTTTGGATAAAGGGTCTTAAACCTGTATTTGAAAAAATAATTTGATGCATACATGTTTTAAAAACTGTTATAATTTCTAATTTGTTAAATACCGATATGTGTAACTCATATAAACACAAGCTCTCTGGGATCCTCAGTAATCTAGGGGTTTTTGAGGGATCTTGAGACCAACATCTGAGAATTGCTACATATACAGTCCTGTTTCCAGGGAGTTTGTGCTCCCACCTGAGCTCCCTGCTGTGTTCATAGTCTAAGGACTTGATCCTTTGCCACTTTTTCTTCTTCCCCTACTTTTTTTCCAGCTCTAAAATTCAATTCTGTTCTTTCTACCTTAGAGAGGCCATCTCCCTGCCATTGCATTTAAGAAAAGAAAGTTGGGGCTCAGTGCCTGTGGCTCAAGTGGCTAAGGCGCCAGCCACATACACCTAAGGTGGCGGGTTCGAATCTAGCCCCGGCCCACCAAACAACAATGATGGCTGCAACCAAAAAATAGCTGGGCGTTGTGATGGGCACGATGGGCACCTGTGCTCCCAGCTACTTGGGAGGCAGAGGCAGGAGACTCACTTGAGCTCAGGAGTTGGAGTTTGCTGTGAGCTGTGATGCCACGGCACTATCTAGGGGACAGCTTGAGGCTCTGTCTCAAAAAAAAAAAAAAAAGAAAAGAAAGTCTGTTTTCCCAGTGCTATTTAAGAGAGCTTAGCTGCCAGAACACTTAGAGAGTGGGTCTTTGGTGAGCAGGTCTGCATGTGGTCTCCTCCCCTTCCTCTCCTTCTCTCCCCTCTCCTGCACCATCCTTCTTCTCCTCTTTTTTTTTTTCTTTGAGACAGAGTCTCACTCTGTCACACTGGGTAGAGTGCCATGGCATCCTTATAGCTCACAGCAATCTCAATCTCTTGGGCTCAAGAGATCCTCTTGCCTCAGCCTCCTGCGTATTTGGGTCTACAGGTGCCCACTACAATGCCTGGCTAGTTTTTCTATTTTTAGTAGAGATAGGATCTTGCTCTTGTTCAGGCTGGTCTCAAACTTGTGACCTCAAGCAATCTACCTGCCTTTGCCTCCCAGGTGCTAGTATTACAGGCATGAGCCACTGCGTCTGGCCCTTTTCCTCCTCTTCATTGCCGTGGTTAATGCCGGGCAGCCGGGCTCATGAATTAATAACAATAATGAGCATTCAGGTTCATGCACATTTATCATGTGCCTCCACTGTGCCCCACGAGTATCCCCTAAGTCAGCGGTTCTCAACCTGTGGGTCGCGACTGTATTGAAGGGTTGTGGCATTAGGAAGGTTGAAAACCACTGCCCTAAGTCTTCAACACAGCCCCCTTTAGGGGAGATATTATTATGCCTGTTTTATAGGTGGAAAAACTGAGTCTTCAAGAGGTTAAGTAGCTCAGTCTAATATCACACAGCTAAGAAGCGGCTAGCAGCAGGTTTTGAATCCTGGAAGGCAGTCAAGCTTCTGTGTTTAGATAACTTTAAATCCTGTTGCTAAAAATGGCTGCGTCCTCTGATATTATACTTCTGTGATACTCCGGGACCCAGTGACCTCCCCCAACCACTGGTATTTCATTTGGATTTCAGAACACATGGGTTCGATCTGGGTTTCCTGATATGCAACACAGTTCAGAAAGCATCACATGCTTTTAGATCCCTGTTGGTCATGAGGAAAGAAACCTTTAGCATCAAAGGAACAAGAAATCTTTTCACTGCAACAAGGTGGTGGCTTCAGTAGTGAAGATGCAGTGAGACTCGTTCCCCTGAGACTGTCTACTCACCAAACGGGGCGTGGGATCGGGCAGCGGGCAGTGGGAATAAGATCCTGCTCACCAGGACAGCGAGTGAGCTGGGGCACAAAGCCCTCCTGGTCTGGCGTCTTTAGCAGCTGCCCGGGTGTGAATGTCTTCCGTAGTTCTGAAAAAAAGTACTGCTCTGGCACGGGATGGCCTTCGTTTTCTGAGGCTCATGGTGCATCTGGCTCTGACGAAAGTCAGACAGGGATCCTGCGACGTCTGGATACCTCGCTAGGATCAGCGCGCATGGAGGTCGTCTGCAAGCAGGTGGGGTTTTTCTTTTTTTTTTTTTTCCTTTCATTTTCCCTGAAGCTGCCCCCAGAGCCCAGAGAGCTTCTTGTCCTCAGGAAATCTGGTGTCCTTGGAGAAGGGTGCTTTTGCCATCAAAATTCATTGGATTTTTCCTCACATCCATAACCATCTCTCTCTATCATCATTTTGGGCACTGTGGATGAGCAAAAAGGCTTCTCAAACCATACTCAGCCTTGCCTGGTCCTCACCTTCCACAGAGATGGGGACAGAGGTAGGATGCAAAGGCAAGAGCTGGTCTATCATGTTCCTTTGAGCAGGGACAGGCAGCAGGAAAGGCCAGTGTGTTCCTTTTTCGCTCTGCAGCATGTCACTGGCAGACAGTGATGCTGCAGGTGACCTCAGCACATGTAGGCTGGTGGCGGAGGGGCTTCAATCTAGAGAGCAGATTCATTTTGATATCCTTAGGTGCTCACGTTTTCTGATGCGTGGGTTTCGTAAAACACCAGAGGCAAGCAGGAGAGGACTGCCTAGTTTTGCCTTCAATGGAAGATAATAATGCCCCGGCCACAACAGCTTTATTCAGCACTGCCTCGCCACTCTGGATAGCTGTACATGCTTCATATCAATTAATTGTCCAACAGCTCAATTGCAGGTATAATTTATCACCCCCATTTTATAGATGAGTAAGTTAAGGCCTAGATTTAGTAACTTGCTCACATTCTACTGATAAAGTAAAACTACTTCCCCCGACTGTGTTCTGTATTTTCTCATTTCTTAATAATTTTTGAGGCAATAGACATTTCCTACCCTACCCCACCCCTACAGATGTCAAACTGTAGAGTTGGGTAGCTGTATGGGGTTCGTCTGTCTGGTTTCATGGAAAGAATTTTGTTTAAGGAATGACAGAGGCTTCTCTCCTTCGCAGTGTGAAGCTCATCTTGGCCACGTGTTTCCTGATGGACCTGCGCCCACTGGTCAGAGGTTCTGCATCAACAGTGTGGCACTGACGTTCAAACCAAGGGAGCCCTAGACTGTCTCTTCTCCCTGGCTGCTCTTTCATTTGAACCCCTGATTTCCATAATTCCTCTGAATGACTTGCTGTATTTACTATAAAACCAGCTGAGTTTGCTGCTGGAACCCGAGAGTCACAGCTTCTCTGACTTAACTGGAATCGACTTGACCCCCACTCCTACTTGGGCTGTGGAATTTCACCAAGTGACAGAGGGACAGCTGTTTCCCTTGTGCTGACTTCCCACAGGCTTTGTGTGGGACCACAGGGCCGGACTCCTTGGGGACATCAGGACGCCAATGGCTAGTAAACCAAAAACTTCCTACAAAACTCTGCATTTTCCATTGTGATCCAGTCCCTCACGGGCATATGGAATCCAAGGCATCAGTATCTCAGCACTGAGGAGTGGGGTTGTGGAAAGCTTTGCTTTGGGGGACGCATATGGGGAGCCATGAGATGCGTGAGTTTTTTTCCAAAATTTTAAATGTCTCCAACGTTCTACTTTTAACCTTTCTATCCACAAATCAGCTGTAATGGAGTTTGTTAGATTTCAGTGATTTATGAATCCCCCTCTTACTTTTGGCAAACAAAGTTAAAACCTTTAAATGTTCAAATAAAATATTTTGTAAAATTTATGTTTGCTTTCTAAGTCAATGAATTTGCTCTTTTATAAAAATGACTCTAAAGTGAAATGACAAAAAAGAACTAGAATAGAATGGTACCCGGCATTTGGTTATGACCAGAGACTTAGCCAGTCAAGTATTTTGCAGATTAGAAGTCTTGAATAATGTGTCACTAGAAGTACTTAAATCTCTCTGTGATGTTAGCAGCAGACAGGAAACTTAATTATTCCATTTTTCTCTCTGTTACATGTTACTTTACATTTCTTTTATTGGCTATCCTGAAAACCACAACATGCATGCTTGTTACCAATATATGCTTCCCCCACCTAGAATGCTAACCTTGGAAGAACACTTTAACCCCATTAATGCTCTCCAATATTTTGTTACTATTGTCATGTATTAACTTTATACATACTTTAAAGTACCCAAATCATCATTTTTTTTTTTTTGAGATGGAGCCTCAAGCTATCTCCCTGGGTAGAGTGCCATGGCATCATGCTCACAGCAACCTCCAACTCCTGGG